ACGAGGTTGACTTTGATATGCCTCTTTTGTCTGACATTGCTTTGATTTGCTGGTACTTGCAAGTGACTCGGTATACCTTTCTTGTTCATGTTCCGGGTCTTCCTCATGTGAAGTGAGGAGTGATTCGCATTTTGCATCTGTCGGTATAAGTGGATTTATTAGCCCCGTTATAAATATACATGTTATGTATGGAAGAAGATCCTTACCTAGAACTATTGGTGCCTTGTTGTCTGGTATGGTTATAGGTCCAACACTTCGAAACACTGGGAAGTTTTCCTTCCTCCATACTTCTTTGGATCATGTTCTTTGTATTCTTCCATCTGTTTGTGCCAATTGTATGTAGCCGGGTTGTGCTCTTACTGATGGGTATAGTTCTGTTACTCTACTTTTGTCCATACTTTAGCGTTGTGCGCCTGAGTCTACGAGTGCCTTGTATGTATTACCATTTATTTGTATGCCAATGTGTAGTTATTGATCTCGTGGTGCGGGAAGCAAGGATAAAGATTGGTATTATACCACTCGCATTTGTTAACAACGTTTCTTCATCCGTATTTACATTTGACCTGTCTGCCAGGTCATCAAGTTTGCTTCCGCCCACCAGTTGTTTCAGGACTCATTGCTATATGTTAGCTCTTCTATTTTTCCTGTGGTAATGGATAGGCGTGACAAGAGTACATCACTCTTGGCACGTTCTTCAGACTTCTTGGTCTGATTTGCTTCCTTCATAGGACATTACCCAAAGCAATGTGGAGCCGGTGTTACCTTACAATAATATGGACAACCCCTTGTCTCGCGTGCCCCTTTCTGCTCTCGGGGTTGTCTCATTGCAATGGTTTGTCTTGGTGCGCCATTACTTTATCTGTGACGCTTATGGACTGGTGGTGCAGTACTTTGTGTTTGACTGCGCGTAGCCGTGTTCGTTATTTGGTGCGCGTGAGTGGTATCTCTTACGCTTTTTAAACCATCGGCTTCCTATACCTTGCCTGCAAGTAAATAGAACACATTTTGTTTTATGTTTGATAAGTGATCGTCACTTGCATCAGGCAACTTGTTTGCTTTAAATGATTGTGTCTACCTTGTCTTGCTGGCCATAGTACGCGAGTGCCTTATACCTTACTACTTTGAGTAGTTGCACGTGAACTTGTTCTATGTATGCGCTCTGTGCGCACTTCTACTTTATTGAAGAACTTATATAGTAGATAGTCTACACGGTGGTGAATTAGTCTGTCAATGATAATTATATTAATGGCTTAGAGCTGTGTAGTGATTTGTGATCTGTGTCTCTGAGTCATGTATCTCATTGAGAAACCCATTGGTCTACTCATTTGCATCTGTGGAATCTAATCGAGATGTCACGAGTGCTGAATACTGACATATTGGCATGTACTTGGCTAAGGACAGGTCTCTGCACTGCGTAGTGTGTAAACTCTGAAATGCTTTTACAATTTTTCATTTTGAAAGAACTATCTCTCGATAACTTCGGAAATTCTCTGGTCTTTAGTAGTTTAGATAACGCTGGTTCATTGACCTTATCACCTACATAAATGTGAACGTATGTGATCTCTAGCTCACTAATCAATTGACTAATTATGATTACTTCATCCTCTTCGTCGTCCCCACATGCATTGATGGCTTGATCGTATCTCTTTCTGATTTCTGTGTCTATCAGGGGCATGCGACGCTCAGGTTGCTGATCATGAATGCCTACTCTCACTTGTACAGACTTGCGATGGCTACTTGTGCTGTTGACTCTAGCTTGGAAATGAACCTACTGATCGTGAATTAATTGCTATGACAAATACTTTTGTCTATTTCTAAAAGCATTGTTGACGCCTGAATTAGTACCCCGTTAGGCGTCTGTAGACTCGGGCTACTACCTGGGGTTGAGTCCCCCGCCGGTCGATTATCCATACCCTGTATTTTGGTGTAATTCCCGTCTCCACTATACACCCCTGCCCTGGTTGCTGTTGGCATCTTGAGTTATCTGTGTACACGTGTAAGCGTTGCGAGTCATTAGCAAAGACCTGTATTATATTCGTTATTAATAAACGCTTCACCCCCCTTGTCTTTACTCATAACTTACGTATATTCGCTTTATTTTATGTGCCTTTGTTGGTACTGCACGTTGCTGCATTTCCTTTTGGAGTATCTACTGATGTGTATCAATCGGCAGCTTGTTGTCCCTTAAGTGAGAGTGTATGTGTTTGTTGTTGTTTTATTTTTAATTTGTCACACGTGTTTTTGACTCGACGTATTTCGTCATATGTGATTTTTGTAGCATCCAGGGGCCAGATTATCAGAAAAGCTAATCCTAAACCCAAAACCCAGGAGAATCAAATACTGAGTTTTAGATCTAGGATCTAATATTTCTGATGATAGTGATCAGAAATATAGCGGGACTACCGGTAGATGATACCGGGACCCCCGCATGTGAGAGAAACACTTAAGTAAATATTGAGTCTAGTGTAGAAAATACTAAACACAAATAAAGACTCAATGCGAGTCCTTCAGCTGAGGACTTCACCTAGCTGTAGGATTCGTACTTGAGAAGAGGTCTATTGTTTTTTCTGGTCGTGTCTTATCAGCCACTCTCAAACTCTACATTTTTAACAATATCCTTACCACGGTAAGTCAACCAGCTAAGGAAGAATCATTAACCCAAAAGGCACCGAGAAAGAGAAGTGCCAAAGTGGGCCTAGCAAAAACTTTATTAGAAGTTGGAATAAGAACTACGAGGGGCCCAAGAAAGGCGGAAGGTACCCCACTGCGGAGAAAGAACTTCAGACAAGAGAAGAAGAAGGGAAGTTCTAAAATAAAATAAAAATAGAAAAGTGTCGAGGTGATTTTTTTATCAATGTTGAGAAAGAAACAAGATAGTGAGTCAGACAGGAAGCACAGTACAAAAAGGAATATATAAACTAGCACACAAGACGCACGTGCACACACATTCCACAAATATCGACCACCAACATTAGGTTCAAAGATAAGGTAAAAGTCTAAATCAGTGAGATCACACAAGACTGATGAACCTCACCTAAACACACAAAACAAACACCAAGACTATAACCATATTTACATGCTTAAAGAATCAACAGAGTGGTGTTGTGTATAAAGGCACGAGCAATAAATGCATATGCATGTACACAGACCAAGGCCGCAAATAGAATATAAACTTGAAATCGCACAAGTAATTTTATGAACAACAAACTGGGTAGAATAATAACTAAAACCACGAGTTAACTAAACAGTTAAGAACTTCACAACAATACGATTAGAGCACGAACAAATCAGATCTACACAATTGATCACAATCACTAAAAACAGATGGTTAATAGTTAAAACCAAGTAAGTACAAGGAAGCCTGAAAACACTAAGAAGTGATAAACACAAATGTAACACCCACAGGCTAGATAAAGGATATTACAACCCAGAACAAGCGAGGTATACGCGTGTACAACTCAATCCTAATAGCTGATCTCACACCAACACCATAGAGATAAGACAAGCATTACACAGTACGGAGCTTATTTAAACAAATAGACAACGGTGTAAAGGCGATACAGAAAAGAACAAGACGATCTGACCCATTCAAAGAGAATACAGTCAAATTCGCACACCACACAAGACATCTGAATCGAAATCGACGAGGAAGATCACAAAATCACAATACACATAGGAACACCAACTATACAGTAACAATCCATAGGCACACCACCTATAAGATAACAATCATAATAAGCATATCTCAACGACAAAGACAGACTCGACGTGATACTAAATACGAAGGTATAATACCGACGTTAAGTGAAATCACTTCTATACATCTACAATTCAAATACAGTGGAAATCACAAGGAATTAGACCAGTGACAACTAAAAGTGAACAACCAATTCAATAAGTACAAGACAGCTAAAAACAATATTAGTAGCAGAAACACTGCCCAAGACAAGAAGCTCTTAACAAACACACCATTGAAGCAATTCACAAGCACATCACTAAAAGCATTCACGTGGTCCACAACCTAGACATATATTAATAAGAAACCATTGTACACCAAGTTAAGGACATGCATAATACAAACTCAACATGTGAGAAGTGATACGCATACACGGCACATCTGCCCGCACTATACCAAGTGCACGAATAACACATGACCGCACAATACCAAGTGCACGAATAACACAGGTGAGAATAAATAGAACCACCAACAATTGATTGCAATTCATATAACCAAAAATTATAAACATACACACACGATCACAAGGCCTACACAAGCATACACAAGCACAGCAGTACAACCGACAACTCATAAGAAACCAACAAGCATCACAAACATAGATGTACAAAGAGAGGGGGGTACAAAGAATACTACACGTATACAAAAGGGTATTACAAAGGTACACTTCAGACTGAAATTGTGTACGAACATAGAAGGCAGCTAAAATCATATCTCTTCTGAAAAATTCAAAGTCATAAATGACGAGAAGTTCGGAACACCACCGAGGCTCAAATAAAACAGAATATAAAATAAAAACTTATAAAACTGAATTACAGGTTTATAATTCCAGAAGCCAAGTTACAAGAGAAATCAGGTTTACAACCGATAAACCATCATAAACCCAAGTTTATCGTCTCAAACCAAAAATTCACCAAACAAACCCAGGTAATTCGAACACGAGCAATTCAAGCCACACAAGCACATGGCCCTGCAATCAGCACGGACATCGCATGCCACAAGGGGACGCAGATACAGGTAATCAACAAATCTGATTCAACCAATGTACTAATGCACAAAGAAAACAATGGTTACTGATGCACTACATATACATCCTAACCAAACCCCACACAATCCGCACGCAGAACAGTCAATGACGTCTGCGCCATACCAACGAACATGCGCAGCATGGAGGTGCCTACGCACACAAGTAAGCTCAAGCCGTACACACACACGAGGGAGCACAAGTCGCACTGCTAACACAAGATCAGTAGCAACAAGCACAATGCCAGTCTCACAAGCATCGTCACGCACATCTACCCCACACAATGGGGATAGAGCGATGCAGATGGACGATGAGTCCACACCAGCAAGATCTCCAATGGATCCGGCGATGAGTAAGTACTACATAGTCTTGGATAAGACTATCCATGACAGCAACTACTACATAGTAGACATACTAGTAGGCAAGTTGTATGCACAAGCAGCGGACGATCCCATTGACATCAGAGCGTTCCACAAACTGCGCAAAGCAGTCCATGAACAACAACCCAAACGTTTAGTTCCAGTAATAGATAAGTGGTTAGTAGAGATATACAATAAAGCGATGAAGAACTGTGACAAAAGTGATCACGATGAGTGTATTGCGATCAGTGGCTTTATGAGCGAGTTAACTCTAATTAGATCTCACGAAGGGGACAAAGCTTCAGAACCAGAACTGAACAAACTACTCAAAATGAGTGAATTCCCTAAGTGGCCAATAGGCAAACAGATCAGCATGGCTGATTGTCGTGATACAATTGAGTTTGTATCTGTAGCCAAAGACTTGTTTGCGGGCACAAACATGCCATTGATACAGTACCTCTCACTAGTACAAGAACTACTCGGATGCCACTGAAGTATAGCGTACTGCACTCAACAATATACGTAGTACCAAAAAGCTCTGGCAAGACTTCACTGATGTGGAGGACTACAATATATTAATCATTGACAATCTACGTCGCACTCCAGTAGACTATCTACTAGAGAAGTGGCTCAACGACTTCTATGACACTCGCGTGGTAGTTGAAGTACGAGCAGCACGATTGCGTCGCACAATTTTTGAGTTGGAGAAACGTTACAAGGGCACGGAGAGAGAAGCTATAAATTGGCAACTTCTCAAAGCATCACGTTACCAGGTACTGGTCATGTACGGTTTGCAAGCAGAATCAGACAAGCTAATCAAGGCTCAGACAAAACCAGACGGGAGTAGTGGACACTTATCCGACATCTCAGAGAAGGTATTTCATGAACTCACTGAAGACATGATCAGACAAGCAACAATAACACAAGCTAATCGCAAGCGGGAAGCCAAGCAAGCAAAAAAAGCACTAGCTAATGAACCACGAGCCACCCGCCTAAAATTGGACATACTTCAAAGGGGTCCACCAAGAGGAGGAGGACCACCAAGAGGAGGGGGACCACCAAGAGGTGGAGCCCCCCCAGGAGGTGGAGGTCCACCAGGAGGGCAAGGCAGGCCACTGACACACCAGCACCACGAGGTCCACGACCATGTCCACACTGTGGCGTCAATCCCTCACCACATGCGTTCAGCAAATGTCCCAACAAAGCGAACAGCAATCGTCTAAAGGCAGAAGCTCGAGCAGCGCAACAGAACCAAACTGTCCATGTTGACCAGTTGGCCATTACCAATGGCAACAAGGTGGAAGAGATATGCGAACAGCTATGAAAAGCTTGGTGGTCGGAAGCTAACATGATAAACACGGTAGACATTGTGAATGCACACACTGATGAAGAAACGTTGTTAATAAATGCGAATGATATTGATTACAAACCCATCTCTTTACTTCCGAATCCACGCGACCAGAGATTGCACATAGACATACAAATCAATGGCACCACATACAATGCCCTAGTAGATTCAGGAGCACAACGCACTTGCATGAACCGAAGTGTAGTAACTGAACTATACCTATCTGTAAAGGCACAACCTGGATATATACAACTCAAAATGGGCGCGCGGGGAGCAGGCCGCAAAAGCGAAGTAAGTTTGTTTGATGTTTGGGAAACCGAGGGTATTTAGTGCCCGTGATGATGGCTGCTGCTTGAATGAGTGCTGAGTTAAAGCGCTCGAATAGGGGGTCCAACGCATCCTTCCATATAGGCGGAGCCCAGGCAATAATGTTCAGCCCATATGTAGCCGTGGATAGGATGAATGTTTTGAACATCACCAGTTGGTTGCGGGGGTGTCGCCAGCTGAAGCCATGGAAGCCATAAGCGTGGAAAGAGGCGATACTCAGTGACAATGCTGCAACCAGGGATTCCATATGTCTAGCGAGGTTGATTCCTGGTACTCCGTGAGAGAGTGGGAACCCCAGGTATTTGGAGTGTTTCGGTTCGGCATGTGTGGGCGCCAGTTTCAGGGGGAGGTAACGTGTGTTCCAAGATGCGTCTGCAAGCGTCGGCGTGATAAGCTCACCATTTATATGGAGGGTTGGCGCCGCGTGTCGCAAGTCGGTAGATCGTACTCGGGGTTTAATGACACCCTGTTCGAGGCCAGCTTTGCGTCCCCACGCATCAATGTCATCTAAGAAGGGCTGGAGCGAAACCGATCGAGGGGCTTGGATCCGTGTGTCATCGATAAATAAATAAGAACGCAGGATCTTGGGCCGAAATTGTGCTAGCGTGACAGCTAAGGAATCCATATAGATAATAAAGAGCTGGGGGCCGACGATTGAGCCTTGTAGGATGCCATTCGTTCTAAGGAATAGAGACGAGAGCGTGCCGCGGTATGTTCCTCTTCTGACTGTGTCTCAGATTCTATGGCGGCAAGTGCTTGGGTATGACAAGAGTACCGTGATTTGAAGCTAGCTTGGGTAGCATGGGTAGCAGAGCCGGGGTGGCTCGTAATCAGAATAAGAAAGCACTTTTCAAAGGTGCGTCTAACTATTTGCGTAAGCGTGATGGGGCGGAAGTCGGCGGGGAAGGTGATATCTGCATCGGCGTTCTTTGGGTGCGATGCAGTTCAGGGCTGCGGGGAAGGTACCCGCCTTCTGTAGCTCAGTGAATGCTTCGGCAAGGAGTCTAATCAGTGGGATATTGGCGTCGGGGCGTCCTAATGTCTGGCGTTTGGTAGAGCACTCCACTGCGGCCTTTAGGAGGAGGATGTGAATTCCGTCGGGGCCAGGTCCCTTATTGGGATAGCGTAGTATTGCCTCCATTACATCGTCGGGGCGTATGGTGGAAGTGACAACTGGAGAGGGTTCGGTATCCGGTGGAACCACGTACGGGTTTGTAGAGTTGAATAGGGCCTCAAAGTAGCCAGCGAGGGTAGCGCCTGTGTCATCGGTACCCGGTATGCAGGGTTGGCGCGGAGACCGTCGTTGGTACGCAATATCTTTGAACATTTGAGCATTGCTTTGGGCGGTCAGACGTGGGCGGAACGAGTGGGTTGGCAGCCGCTGAGCCCAAGGTCTGTTTAAGTCATAATAGAACCCTCCAAAGCGCATGTTTTTTCTCTCACGCAAACCATGTAGATGTTTGCGTTCATCTTTATTTTGTTTTGTATTTTAATATTTGTAAAAGCTAGGCATTGGCGCGGTTAAATTCGGAATTTAGTGTGTCGAGTCGTCAAGTAAAGATTTAGCCATAGGATGTAGCATGCGAGGTAATTATCCATATAAATATTTTCCAATAAAAATATCGGATGCTCGAGTGCGTGTATATGAAAGTTGGGAACATGTTCTAGACAAAAGCAAGTACAACATCAGGTATATGGAGGGGCGATTTAAAAAGTGTGGCAACTGTTTCCCGCTTGAATCGGGCGCACTCTTTCATATGATTATTATACCTATCTATTGTTTATTCCAGGGTTGTAAACATAGTAATCATAGCAACCCCTGCAGGGTGCATGTCTGTCCTGCCATGGTCTCAGCACTCTTGGGATACCACATCCTGCTCGATAAACATTTGGCGACCAGCCGACGACTGCAGAGGGATGTATGCTTGTCACGTACTACCTTTCACTCACGCAAATCTATATTGCAGAGCGGAGTCATGACCAAAGACCAAAGTCGGGTTGATTGGAGAAGTACAACTTGTAATTGTTGAACCAGTTGGATATTGCCGCATTAACTAGTATTTTGTACGAGAAACCTGTTCTTAAAAACGCTACGCCAACAGTTCTTTGATGACAAAATCATGTCGCGTCATTAATCTGCTGATGTACTGGATGGATGGGACTACCGATAGGTATATCGTGGAAGATTGCGAGCCAAATAAAGTGACAGAAAAAGCCGCAATCTATGCCTGTGAATTACTTCATTCGGCTTGTTGCGTCATTTTCGCAAGAACTAGGTAAGTCGAACAGTATAAATTGTTCCAATTTCTTTTTTTTTCACGTTAATTTTTTGCTGTAGCACTTTCTGACAACTCACATACAATACACGCAAAACGTTGGCGAGGATGCCCTCTGCAAAAAAATATGTTCATATCTGAAAGAAGACGAGATAACTGGTCCAAACGGCCGTTGTGTGCATAAACATGACAGCGATGTAGTGGCTTATCAGACATCAATTTAGAGTAGCCCTTTGGCGTCATCGTGTCCTTCACGATGATCGCGGCGTAGGAGAAGCGATGTGTCCATGAAGTAGCACTTACGGTTTTATGAACATATGAAAGACTTATGATCCCAATGTTGTTTATCATTCAGATTTTGAAGTCAGAGAGGCAAACGAGCTGCACCCAGGTGCATTACTTCAGGCCCAACGCAAAATATGTGCTGCAGAAAAGTGAAATCGTGCGCCAGGAACGAAAAGCTGCTAAATATTACAGGCGTGAGCACCCCTGAGTTCGTCACCACCAATATTGGGGACGATACTAACAAGGGACATATGACAATCCCTGGACGAAATTCAAATGGAAGTGGGTAGTTCTTCAGTTTATGACATTGCTCGTAGACGCTGTGGGCGACAATGATCATGATGGTGTGTTGACGACACCAGAAGAGTCTGTACGGAACAACTACATGATGCTCAAAGCTGAGCAGTCGTGGTTACAGAATGGGCACGAGCCCTCGGTGGAATCAGGACGTGCGCGAAGGAGAGACTCGGTTTATATAGCCATAGAAGGCTTTCGACAGCTTCAACGTCGAAATCACAACTGACACGTAATCGCTTGGTCGTAGTCGGTCCATCATCGAGAACGTCTAAAAACTCCAAACAGTTGCACTAAAATTGAGCATGCTCCATCTTTGTAAGCGTTGGTGGTATCGGTGCTTCTTTAGTTGCGTCTAGCAGTGCAACGGGTGCACCGACTTTTGATTCATTATCCACGTTAAAATCACGTCAATTGTCCATTTAACAAGCAAGTGTACAGATGACGAGATCTTGACCGTGAAGCATATCGAAATGACAGCGTAGTTGTCGGCTCAAGCGAGGTTTGTACTGTGTTAGTCACATCGACGTCACTCACCATCCTTGTAAGCTTTGGGGGTATGTTGAGTCATTGCTACGGTTGTATTTATTTTATATCGATTGCAATGATATATTTTATAGTACATGCCTGTGCTCAATTATTGGCTTGTTTAGATTTTTCTTGAAGTGTATGCGAGGAGTTATCACGCAAAACCACATCGATGAATGATTACAATTTGATAGGAACCACAACACTAGACAAAAGCCACTATTCAGGGGTTTACAGGGAAAAGTAGGGGGAATCGGTTTCGAACGTAAACGCTTTGTTGGACTTGTGACTATTGTACAACTATTATTCAATACCAATAAAGGGAACACATCAATACAGATCTGAGCTCAACTGTCCTTCTGGTGTGGTTGATGCATTTTGTTTCACCGCCCAACATTCTTATCGACCTGAAAGCGAATTAGCTCCTGAATTGTATACGTCACAGTAAAGGGGGAAATTTGAATTACTGTCTGTTCTAAAAGTCCACAAAAACATGTAGTTCTAAGTTTTGTTACTACTGTCCAAATGGTCGTTGACTGGATTCGGTGACCAGACAAGTCTGGCTGATGAAGGAACTGCAGGTAGCGAAGACCCCCAACAGTTACAACTTCACACTCGGGTCCTTTTTTTAAGAGGCTACATAGTATTTTAAATACATATATACGCAAGTACTAATTGCACCGCCACACTTCTCTGAGCAGTCTCTAGGGTGCTAGTGTCAACTACGAGTTCTCTTTATTCGATGCACGAGAAGCAGTGGCGTGTCTGGCATTCTATGTACCTGTCCACTTGCTTAGGCATGAACCATTACTAAATTTGTGGCGTACCATCTGTGTGTCAGAGATCTGCTTAGCGACTCCCTTTTGGTCGTGCAGTGGATGATTATCCGAACAGCAAGGGAGAGCACAACTGAAGATTGTGTACGCGTGTGACCTGGTTGAGGCGCTAGATCAAGTCAATGGAATGGCCTCGTACTACAATCTGGAAGCATTCATAGCCGAGCTATAAACCATTGCTACATCTGCGGTGCTCACGAAAGTACACACTCCTCTGAGGTACACACACTGTGCTGTTTGGGGGGCTCAACACAGTCAGCTACTTGGCTAAGATCACCAACTGCGAATTCTTGCAAGCGGCAAGGTCAGCGGGACCCTTCGTACTGCCCCACTCATTGGTCGTTGAGTCGTACACGCGCACCTCCTCCATTATGGTCTTGTCTTGTTTGGCACCACCTGTGGGCGTTATAGTGAGACAAGGAACATTTGAATGTCTATGAATACTACCTACACCATGCTCAGTAAAAACTGAAGTGAGAATCACGTACCAATAGTCCGAGTGTATTGGCTGAAAGCGCGTGTATTGGAAACGCTATAGTCTTCGATAAACATGAAATATCGAGTGCGTGAGAATGTACAGGTAAAACATACACATGCACATGCGGATGAATATAAATTATTTGACAAATACACATAGGACCCTTATATCAAAGACTGTAAATATGTATGCAAACCTAGACAAATATGTAGATATAGATACTTCTACACCCACACACATATATACACACACACACACACACACACACACATATATATATATATATATATATATATGTATGTGTATATATATATATGGATATACGTACTAACACACCCTTATATATGCATGTAAATAGATACGCTAATACACAGATGAAGATATATATATAAATATATATGTATATCTGGATAGATATACATGTAGATATAGGTATAGATATAGATATAGTAGATATAAATATAGTTACATATGCATATACATAATGACACATAGACACACAGATACATGGATATAGATATATATATATTTATATGTATATATATGTATATACATACACACATACATATACATGTACGTATATATACATAAATATATATATACATACATGTACATTATACATACATATAGGTATATATATAGATATAGATATGGATATATATATACGTGTGTGTGAGTATGTTGTGTGTGTCAGCGCATTTAAACCTTATCTAACCAATTCAATCGAATACAACACACTCGAAACAAATGAACTGATGGAGAAAGTAATCATCCCGAGACATACCAAACACATAAACATCAGCGCCAGTTGCGCCCGACTTATATATACTAACTGCCAGAGCCCCATTGATTCCCTCAGGTAATGAGGGGAGTGTCTCCCATGTGTCTGCTCTTATATCGTATCTCTCCACCGCATCCGAAGTTGCCCCAGTGCCAAGCACACCGCCGATGGTGTAGATTTGCTGCGACCTATCACAGTATGCGGTTGCAAAGCCATGCCTCGCTGTCTGTGGACAAAACCGTGATCATGTATCATGTATCTGGGTGAGTGAATACTTTCGCTCTCATGTGATCATGTGAGTATAATCGTACTGCACTTGTTATGTGTAACGGTAAGCGGTGGACAGCAAGGCTGGAGTGGGTTTGTATTGTGAAGTCCTTTCACAAAAGTTTGAGTGGCAGCGTGGTTACATGCATCGACACATTGTGAACTCCAAATGAAGACGACAAATTGTGGACTTCAAGAAAAATAAAATTGAAAGGGTGTTTGCACACGTGTGGCAGATCAGAAGCCGTCATGAGTGTGCGCAGTGATCGCAGCATACGCTTCCGCGATAAAGCAGAGAAGGCACAGAGACGTACAGCAGCAGATGAACCACTTGCACAATAATATATCAGCGAACGACAGCAAAGTGCAAGCGGATACGAGGCAACCCACCAAACAACAAGACTATCCAAGCCCTCACGACAATGTTGAACCGTTCGGGTTCTTGCGGCAGGACAGCAGCGGTATTTGCGACCCAGAAGGTTTGTCCATGGGTGCATGTGGCGAATACTCGAACACATACGCACACGCGCAAACACACTGACGCGGCGAGAAAGGATATCGCCATGGGTTCACACATACATTCCCGGACAGATACAAGTCGAATCAAACTATACATACATCATAGATCATACATGTATACACACACGCGCCTGCATACCAAACCGAGCTCAGGCGCACACATGCTACCATGACAGGAGCAGGCGTTGCTACACACTCATTCGCTTCGCGGTGGGTTTCACACATCCCACACACCATCACACACCTCCATAGCGGCGACCTTCGTCCAACTGTCCGTCCGGCTGTCCAGCAGGGCCGTACTCTGTACGGACCCTATCTCAGCGCACCACCCCCCTATGGCATACAACGTATGGTCACCTACACTAGCCACACCTACACGGTACCGTTCTGATTTTAGGGCCGGTAGCGGGAGCCATTCGTCTGTCTTGGCACTGTACTGCAGTGAGTTTTTGCATCCGTAACCACTGACGGCGACGTATTGGTTGTTGAGGTGTCCCGCGCCATGTCCACAGCGCTGTGGTGTAAATGGAACGTGTAAGTGTAAATTCAAAGGCAAGGGAAAGTGCCAGTATGACGGATGTTTTAAATGTTACTGTAAATGTGAGTGGAAGTGGAAGTGGAAGTGTAAGTGATAATTTAAAGCCAAACACACGCACAGTTTCTATAAGTCCAAGACACACAGTCCCTGCACACAGACACAGACACACGTTCTCTGGCAAGTCAGCGATTGGCAACCACGTAGAGTCTCCAGGGCGCAGCATCTCGGCTTTGCAAAGCATCTTCTCCGGAAAGCGTTTGTACCCACCACATGCAACTATGCACTCGCCTGCTATCCCAGCACTGTGGTAGGTACCTGGAGATACACAGGGTAGACGAGAAAGGTTAACCTAATGCATATACAGCAAACAAGCCAGACTATCAGGTAGTTCGTTATACAGGCCATCTGAGATTGTTCAACCGAGAGACATGGTGAGTATGGCTTACTCGAATGTTTCTAAAATAACGTGATCCAGGCTTGGTTAGGAGTTAAATTGTTGTATTGTGGGGTATATATTCCTTGGCCGCTGATGTATGAGTCTATGCGAGTGAATTATACAAACGCTCATGTGAGGGCAAGGAAACAATATGAGTGTTTGGGGACAAATATGCAAGCCCGAAGATATTGTGAGCACATCTAACCGTACAATCACGCTGAGTCTGTATGGTCATGTGCGTGTAGCAGTCCGTGGTGTTTCAAACAAAGACTGAAGTGGTATGTCATCACTACATCTACCAGTGCAATTAGTATGTATTGATATCATTGTGTATGCGTAGTTGGATGTGAAGATATACGCACACCTGTGCAGGGGCTCACAAGCACTATACTGTAAACACTTGAAGACAAGAATAGAAGAATTGCCCGGTATATGAGTCCGTAGGGATACAGGCACAAACACCTACCGACAGTTAATAAGCCACATGGAAAACCCCAAGACACAACAATCTGGTAGCGGAAAACCATATATATACAAGAATATATACACATATATTTACATACATACATACCTACATATATACATGCATACATACATACATACATTACATACATACATACATATATATATATGTATATACATACATGCATATATATATATATAGAAATATAGAAATATAGAAATATAGAAATATATATATATATATATATATGTATAATGTATATATTTAGACATATATATATATATACATATATATATATATATATATATATATATACTGACATATATATATATATATATAAATATATATATATATAATATATATATATGTGTGTGTGTGTTTCTGCAATCAGCTCAACACGCGCATTCACCAGATGGATGAACATACAAGGTACCCTCCCTGGTGAAGAGTGGCCCTACCACAACATTGAATGTTGCAGAACTATAATAAACACGCACCCAATATCTGTAGGTCAGACAAGATTAACACATACGCTCGTAAGCTAGCTGTGGCATATCCTCCAGCGCACCCCATCTATCGGAATCGGCATGATCACCTGTCTGTGTTCATGCGAGTAGGAAAAGCCCGAGAGTTCAGTAATATACGTATACGTACAAGTGTGTACAAAGTCTAATTAGCCATATACTGGCTAACTAGTGCCAATTGATATATGTTTGGTCAGTTTGTGGGGTCATTCAATGTATCGAACTTCGACATAGCCAGACATGCTACAAAAATATGCGTATGTCAAGTATAGAAATCCGGATAGATGTACTGGTATGGGGCTGATATCAATACCCATCTACCACCTCCATCAACACCATACATAGTACAATCACAGCATGAAGGACTTTTGCACAAATTAAGTTCACTTAAACAGACAGGCCAACACTTGTCACATATAGACAACATCACGTAAATACGTGAGGGTTGGGCTGGTATATGAAAGTACGAACTAACACAAATAGATACTCGAAATCTACACAGTGGAAATTTATCCACAAGCGCACACCCACGTGTACACGATGCAATAGGACTCCGCACGAATCGTATATCCACAGGTTACAAAACCCGTGTTCATCATTTGAAATCACGTGTATAGGATTAGTGCAACATATGCTCGTGAACATTGACCTGCGCGAATTAATTGATGCAGCACTGCCGCGGAGCACGCCAAAACAAAGGCTATAAGATTGAATTGCCTTACCTGGAAAAATCCACTACAGTGTAATAACTGAGACGCACGCAATCATGCGAGAACTAGTGCGAGCTCAATCAGTGATAAGGAACATGCACACACTCTGGATTTGAAGAAAAAAATATATGAGTTTCTGAAATACAGGTATACATACACAAGTGAAAACACAAGGCAAATCAGTTGCCTCTGACTTGCCGGCGACTTACTGTGGCGATCACATGCTGCACAATATCACACGAGCACGAGGAAAGACATACATAGATAGAATTGTGGGATATGAATGATTGCGCCTTACACGTAACCACATTATAATACTCTTGTGTCAAATTTAAACAACTAGTGAGAGACGATGGCGAGCACCCGGTGCCCGACATATTGTATGTAAATACCAATCGAAACACACCTGAATCATCAGTGAACAGCAATCCTTCACCGCTGGCAAGCCCGCCTTACTGCCGCCTACGAATGCCACGTTGAGAGACATCTGTGCATTACCTTTCGATTGCTTCTCTTGTTCTATGCTCACACCAGAGTTGATTTTAATTGGTGGATGTTCATACTCTAATCGAGGCCGTTTTGTGATCTGTACTGACATTCAACGAACATAAAATGGACAGTTGCACCGTGCGTAAAATAGTAGTATACTCAAGTTAATATACCTTGTGCGTTAGAAGGCTGTATTTGTCTTCTGTACGCAGTATGCACTCTTTCGTGACTTTTATTATTGTAAGTATGATTGTATGTACTGTAACAATATTTATTAAAAAAATACGATGATATCAGTTGATTCTGGATTCAATGACCCTCTGGAATTCTCTCTCAGAATGATTGTGTCCTCTGGCGGGGGTGAGTTCATCATACTATGGGCCCATGCCGTGGTTCGTTGTCGATGTAAAAATGTGTGCAATTTTTTGTAATAAACAATACAAACGGATGTAATATTTACATATTTTTTATTGATAATACATGAATATACAGTGTTGGGTTGTTGACTGTTGCCTACTACTAGCTGGAGAGAGCCCTTCTACTGGAGAGAGAAAAATAATACGAAGGCTAAAATGTGTAATTATGACATATTTACATACATATGAATGTATGAATAAATATGTGTTGCCTAATAAATACACTTTTCTGGCCAGGGGGTAAACGACATAAACCATCTGACGATTTTGGATATTTTAAAAAATCGTAAGTTATTGAACATGATCTCCGTACGTATTTTACTTATTTGTATCACTATTAGTTTAAAAAAAATAATTTACAAATAGACAAAAAAAACAAGACTGAAAGTCATGTCGCGATGACTGATATTGTCGTTTACCAGGCCCGATATTTTGAAATACCACGGGGTGTTTTATATACAAAAAGAACAATAAAAAAAAGCATATTTTTGATGAAAAAAACAATCTGACATCGACGTTGTGCATAATTGTGTTCAATTGAGAAGGCTATGATAATTGCTTTTATCTAATTGGTTGTTTTATAAAAATAACAAATATATTTATTGAATGAAGGGATTAAATATGATCAGAGATCAGTGATACGAGATTCAGACTTCAGAGGACAGCCGGCAGTCGGCAGAACCTCTATTTTGTTTTTTGGAAACCCCCCCCCCAAAAAAAATTCCAATTCAAAGGGTGTGAGAGTTTGAGACTCTGAAGGCCGGGCTGGCCAAAACACTGAAACAGCCTAAGCAAAACTACCTGAACTCCTGAAGGCTGACTTCTGAATCTTGATCTGAAATCACCTCCATAAATGCACGAGTAAACACGATAAAATAGAACAAGATGCTATATATTCTACCTATACAAAATAAAGTGCAATGAGCCTAGAGTAGATTGTGAGAGATGCAATAGTAGATTGTTTTCTCGTTTGAATCTGAAACAACTAACCCATTGATAAACCATTGAAGACGGACAGCTCGATGGCTTCAGTGATTGAGTGCACACGGTGCATACACTGTTCAACGAGCCAACACTTGTTTGGACGAGTATGTGCTACATCGAACAACTTAGAATCTCACATTCTTGTTGAGGTTTTTATTAAAGGGCCGTTTACTACAACTAGATTGGGCGCTTGCACGAAAAATGTAATATGGAATTAATAGCAGATACGGCGTAGGGACAAGTTGTTGCAGGCCACAGTTTTCAGAAAATGTAGTTTAGACAGTATGCAGAAGCACAACAGCATACGAAGGGTAGTTCGGTAATGATGTCAGTATTTTATTTAGATCATTCTGTTGGTACAGTGAACATTTACATTCAGGTTTTTATTATTAAAACAAATTCCCGTCTCTACGGTCCACTGAAGCGGCAACTATACCGGTGTATGTGAATCAAGAATCCATTGTTGCTATGGAAGTAGAATACAAATTTGCGTACCTTGAGTTTAGACATACCATACATTCGCAGATCGCACCCCTCTCATCGCCCTGGGGGGTTCAGACACTTTCGTCTGAAAGATAGTCGTGTTCAATTGCCACCGTGTTCGTAGTTTAGAATGGGCTTTTTCTAACATGGATATGACCTCGTATTAGCTACAACCAATGGAATGCGTATGAAGCTGCGCATACCTATCAAAACTAAGAATGATCCACGACTTCATCATACATGCCAACGAGTGATGAGCACTCCTCACGAACACTAAGACAGGCGCTATCAAACGCACCGAAAACTGAGCACAAACATCTGCTATTGTTTAAATAAGCGCAAGTTCGCAGACACCGGCATCAATACTAATCGTTGAGTGAACAGGAGTTTAACAAGGGCACCGCACACACCCAACGCTTACAACGATGGCGAGTGATGCAGTGTGACCAACACAGTACAAACCTCGTTTGAGTCGACAACTACGCTGTGAATTGGACATGCCGTGCGGGCAAGATCTCATCATCTGCAGACGCACTCGTATGAAGGCACAGTGACGCGACCACTATGAGTGATACATGCAGTGGAAATCGGCACAGGCGTAAAACGGCGAAAACTACACCGAATGGCAACAAAAGGAAGCACCGCACACCCCCAACGCTTACAAAGATGGAGCGTGCTGCAGATGCCACGGAAAGGGTACAAACCTCGTTTCAGCCGAGAACTACGAACACCTCTTTGTATTTATTGATAAACTTCGCTGCGAAGGAGCTTAGCCGAGGCGGCAGTCCCATGGGCAAAGGCTCGGCATCTGCACCCACTCGTACGAGTGACTTTGATATGGAGAAGATGGTATAACGGACGGAGTGACGGAAAGCGAACGTACACTCAACAACTGGATGTCACGAGCTCATACCAACGCCCTTTTACACGATAAGACTGTAGGCTAAATCAAAATAGGTCGTATGTATCTATCCCACATATAACTAGCGGCACGGGCAATGTTGCACTGCGTTGTATAGGTGCTATGTGCGGTCACGATTTGTCATACAGTGTAACATACAGACCACTAAACAGCTGGCCCTCATCTGCGACTGCGCTCTCTTGATCGACTTCTGCTGCGGCGGCTGTATGGAGACGTAAGGAACGAATTTATTTCTCAGAAACAAGTGAAAGGAACGTATTGCGGGGAACGAACTAATCTATAAGCAACAAGTGTAAGTCAGAGAAGTGGAAGGGAACGTATTGCCAGGCTAGTAAATCATATTAGTCTCAAAATAAACGCAGCATCAACGTTGTCTCATCGACTTGAAATAAAAAACATCAAAATAGACCCCCCTCCCCCCTAAAAAACAAACAAATATAACCTCTCCTCCCTCCACCTCACCAAAACACATATACAAGCCTAGGCCAATATAGCACACACTCGCACCTTGAGCGTCGCTCTGACCGGCCTCTGCTTCTGCTGCGGCGCCTGTCTCGGCTCCTACTCTTCATGTCTCTGTCACTTCGATCTCTATCACTTCTGTCTCTATCACTCCTCTCGCGGTAACTGCGGTCTCTGTCTCTGTCCCTGCGGTCGCTGCCCCTATCTCTATCACTTCGATCCTTATCGCTTCTGTCTCTATCACTCCTAGACGACCGGCTAGTCTTTTCATCGCGATCCCTGTCGCGTCTACGAGTGGCAGTGAGGGCAAAATGTCAGTGGAATTCAGGACCAAACCAGAAAGAACGCGTACAGGCACTCACTTGGTGCAATAAAAAAGAGGGAGTGAAACATTTAATTCCTACCATTCTACAGTAACTGATAAGATATTCGAGTCACACATTCCAGGTCCAATATATCTTTCAGGTGCAAGCGAAGGGCTCTAATCTACAAGCCATCGGGACATTAACAAAATATTAAAGGTGCACGCGATACCAATAGACAAATATCAACAAGCACACTCCAACACCAGCACAAATGCCACGCATTCTCCCACTGTAGGTGTGGTCTTGAATCATGCCGATGCCTTCTATACCGAACTGCCCTAACAGACGGGAACATCGCGCGGTTGGGCTACTTCCCCATCTATTTCTTGTCCTAAAAACTCTAAAACTAGAAACACGCCCGTTTTCAACAGACGTAAGCACACCCTCAAGCACCTTACCTGTCACTGCGGTCTCTGTCCTCAGCGTCCCTGCTGACGGGTCTGTTTCGGCGTTCGAGGATCTTCTCCTTCCACTCCTTCTGCAACGTACGTAAGCGCAAACAGCCCGCATGCACCTTGCCACCGAAGTGATCGGCCAAGCGCCGGTCACTGTCAAACTGAGACAACAGAGCAGAGCAGACGTCGCACACGCGCAACTTCTGCTGCTGGTATTGCTGTTGCGCTGGACCGTCGTTCTGAGGCGATGATAACGCAGCGTATGGGTTGATGAGTTGAGAGCGAGGTGTTGTGTATATAGGGCACAGCAGAAACAAGCGTCTGTGTGACTCGATCGATCGCACACGCTATATGACACCAGTGGTGTACATGAATACGGACATCGACGAGCGCGGTCAAAACCTTAGAACGATGTGCGTACAAATAGACCATGAAAAGGATGATTAAAAACTCTAGACAAGCGTTCGTACATACGCCCCGTTTGCACACACAAGTACATCGAATGGCAATTACATTATTAAACATGAGCAAGTAAAAGAGATGCAATCTCTCGGCTAACTACACATGTCAACTCCAGCCCAAATGTCCTACAACTCAGGGTACTCGCACAACCCAGTGCACACATATACACGCCGCCAC